CACATCCACAGATCTACCTCTCCACCTCCATACATCTACACATCTGTATCGCACCTGCACATCCACACTGTCACTCCTTCACGTCCATCCTTTCTTTCTCTCTTTCTATATATCTTTTCCACAGTGCTGGACAATCACATGTCCCACCGGGGTCCCAGAGGAGCGGTGGCCAACGAAGACCTCCTTTGGGACCCGTGTAAACGTACCTGCCAAACTGGTTACCTGTTGTTCTCGCTGTGGTTTGCTTTCATGGTGGTTCATGTATGTGGTTCTGTTACTAACCGCAACTCGCGTTTCATGTTTTACATGTCGCCTGATTTATTAGGCGTTCATACCTATGTGGGCGTGTGGCGAGCGGCATTCGAGTCAGTACGCATAATCTTGAGTGTGTTTGGCTTTATGCCAGCCCAGGGTGAGCCCGCAGAGTGCCCCCTCTAGACCCGTGGAACGGGGGTTTGTCGAACATACCCCCTGGCCCGATACAAAGCAGCTTGCAGCGAGCATAGGTGGCTTAAGCCAAAGTTATTTGTCAAGGCTTGACGGATTATTGAATTCTAATCTGGCCGCCGACGGGCGTGCCGTTAGGTAACCATCCTCACCCCAGTTTACGCCTGGGGAAACTCATACCTTTTCTTGTTCTTCCTCTCCCTGCGCTCCCGCAGCTCTGCAGCTCTTTCCTGCTGGTCTTGCTGCCTACACCAAGCCACACACTGCAAACATGCCTACACCCTTTTCCTTTCCCTTCCGTATGCCGGGGTCTACACCCTACCGGATAGCAGGTGCCTGGGCCTTTCACTGTGCAGCTGGCAACCCCACCAACCATCCTTCCTCCAGGTTACGCCTAAGGAACTTCATTCCTTTTCTTGTTCTTCCTCTCCCTGCGCCGCTATGCAGCTCTCCTACCGGCCCCGCCTACACCAAGCGACACACTGCAAACATGCCTACAACTTACAACCTTTACCTTTCCCTTTCCCTTCCCTATGCCGGGGTCTACATTCTACTGGATAACAGCATGCAGGGGTGCCTGGGCCTTTCCCTGTGCAGCTGGCAACCGCGCCAACCATTCTCACCCGGATAACGCCTGGGGGAAATCTCACCCCCTGCCTCTTGAGCTGTCGGGAGCCTAGTTCAAAAGAACCTTAGTTCGCCTCCCCTCGGGGAGGCGTGTGTTTGTGTGTGTAACCCTTGGAGACACAGGGATCCTGATGGTTTTGTTTTTCTTTTTCAGCAGGGGTCCCAGAGGAGCGGTGGCCAACGAAGACCTCCTTTGAGACCCGTGTAAACGTACCTGCCAAACTGGTTACCTGATGTTACCTGCTGTTCTTTGGTTTGCTTTCATGGTGGTTCATGTATGTGGTTCTGTTACTAACCGCAACTCGCGTTTCATGTTTTACATGTCACCTGATTTATTAGGCGTTCATACCTAGGTGGCGTGTGGCGAGCGGCATTCGAGTCAGTACGCATAATCTTGAGTGTGTGCGCGTGTTTCTTATCCATGACGAAAGCATCTGGAAGTTTGCATGCTCAAAGCGTGCTCAAAATGACCCTAACAATTTTTCAAGTTTTGTGCATGCTATGGAAAATTCAAGAGAACCATACCCTTTACTTTTGACTTTACCCCAGCCCACAGGAATGTTGATGCACCCTCTACAGCCAAACCAGGCCAATGCTCTGTACACCCAATCCCACCAGCCCACAAACAGGCAGTTGTCCAGCCTGTCGTGTGAAATCTATTGAGGGGGGTTGACCTCACCCCTACTCCTGGTATTTGCATAGCCCAAGAACCAGATCCAAAAACCCAGCGCGGGATTCCAATACAGATTAAAGAGCAGCCAAACCACAACCTCGTCCACAGGAATGTTGAATGTACCTGCTACAACCATGCCATGTCGTGTGTTTAAAAAATGATCATGTTCTTGCCCATGATTGCTTTTGTCAAGCAGATTTGTAGGGCCTTTGTAGGGCCGGGGGCCCCTTGACCTTGATTGTTCACACATTGTTTGACCACTCGTGACCATCTACGTCGCAGGGTCTCGGTCAACTAATTATCCTCAGGGGGTTGAGGGGTGGCACTTCTAAGAGAACCCCATATACATGGTTTTTGTTGACATGTTTAACCAAGGTGTTGGACGGAAATGCTTGAACATTGCTGTTCGAGCATTGCCGTAGCCATGATTCCCATAGACGCTGCACATCGAGCACCAGAGAAAGATTAAATCCAGCATGAAGGTGGTACTCAGAATCCTAATCAATTTATCTCTTTGAGCCTTTCCCTGCCACAACAGCCACGCACAGTGGCCATGTGTGTCATAATTACTCTATAGTGCCGGGCTCACTCTGTCTCACATGAAATGAAGAGGTGCGCAATCAAAGTTGACACAATGCCAAACAAGGCAATACCGAACCGTTGCTGGAAAGGGAGGCACGGGAGCCCAGCACAAAGCTGTTTCGTGAGTGTTGGTAGAGCAGCGTAGTGGCGTCAAAGATGGAGATGATATACAATACATAATTACAAACATAGCACATGAATATTAGATACAGGATTGCTAGTTTGCGCTTGACATATCAAGGACTAGCATGCAGCCATATGGTTCTGTGCTGCGAACAAGGTGGGGCTGTGATCCGTGCAGTCGGCAGAATCGGAGTTGTGTTTTTGTTAGCAGGCAGATCGATCTCAGCCAAGAGTTCTTCTTACATTGCCAATCCCAGTTGTATTTCAGATACCATGGAACTTCATGACCTATCGACTGTCAACCTCTAATAAGACGTTACATTGCATGATGTTACATGACAGGACATGAGGATAAGAATAGCGATGACGATAGTGCTGTGACTGATGCTGATGCCAAACATGCACAAAACGACACATGTGAATATATACAGTCTTTATACAGTAGATCGGTTTACGCGGAAGCAACAACAGCACCAGCTGGCTTTGCTGGTCGTCCTTTTCCACCATGTCTTGTTGGGAGACCCGCCATTCCCACACCAGTACCCTAGAGAACCCCTGTTGCACAACGTCGTCTCAGCTTCGACTTGGATGAGCTGCAGATCCGGCCGCCGGCAGCTTAGGATGTTCCGGGCTGGGCCCTTCCTTTGGTTGCGTGTGGATGAAGAATGAGGCTGAAAGAAGTACACACCATATTGGGTAAAGCATGGTGACCATCTCCAAAACACAGCTCATGATCATCGACCTTCCCGCTTTGCTCACTAGGACGTCCAGGATGCTGAAAGTCTGAAAATCATGTAAAACAACAGCTGAACGGATGTTCAAAGATGACCGAAGCACAACATATTTTCAGAGCTTCTGCTCTCATTGGAAGCACAACAGGGTGCGGCAAAAGCCGATTGGATGGCGGCAAAGCCGACGGCAAAGCCCACAGATTCCCGTCTCTCGCAAGCTGTGGAGCATCTCAAGGCGCATACGGCAAAGTAGCATCACCTTCAAGGCAACGGTCTCTGTGTCCGAGGCGCCCATTGGCCTGCGCGCGAAAACTCGCTTCGTTGGCCAGCGAGAACATGGAATCAATTGGAATCATAATATATATAGGAGGAAAGAAAAATCATGTTGAAGTCCCATTAGCGCCTACAGGCAGCCATCCAAGTGAACGTTTGCCTGAACACTTCCAGCTGGTTCTCATTATATCAGGTGTCCGGAACTAAATGTTGGCCACAACGTTGGCTTTAGGGCACCGCACTTGCCCGAGTATTGCCCTGTCCTCTTGCTGGAGGAGTAACTGAGTATGTTTTTGAAGGTTCTGTATAAGTGTATCATATTGCATCCATTGTATTACAATGTTTGGTTCAACATCGAACCAAGATCCTTGAAACATGTGAGGTTTTGCGAAACCACCCCACGAACCCAGACCGCTTCTTCAGCCGACCGAAACTAGCCGATCGGATAATCGGATTGGTTGGCCAACTGCCAGGTACCCCACCTTGGAGAAACAGTCTTTGGATGGCATTTAAAGGGCTGGCCTGATGCGGAGAAAGGTACATGGAGCTAATGGAGCTGAAGCAGTTTTATGAGTATAGTCACGTCTAGTGAGTTCGCTCAAGGTAAATGACCCTAGTTGTAGTAGACGCTTTGGAAATGAGAATGCCGTAGCGCCAGAAGGTGGTCAACAATCGTCATAGTAAGTAAATTGCACTGACTGTTGGCCTTGGGTTTGCAGTCGCGTAGACCACGGATGCAACTCTACAAAGCCCAAAGTCAGGTGATGTTACATTTGGCCAAGCACAAGGTAAGGTCGACTCTTGATTTGGCTGTGAGACAAATTGTGCCGCCTTCATCACGCAGGCCAGACTTTGGCTAAACCAGTCGGTGTTGTTTCTTTCTAGGTGGAACGGGTTGCACAAGAACCCAGTCCCATGGAAGGGAAGCTATCATAATTTTGCATATTCCTCCCGAAGCAGTATGACAAATGTCTTTGTTGTGTTTCATTTTCCACTTGAGAGATGTTGAGAGCGATCACTGCTGAAACCTGACGTCAATTGCTGAGGATATCAGAAATGAGCTTTGGTGGACACCAGAGGATATCTATGACCTGGGTGAGTTTACGGCGATGCATCCACAGATACTGTTTGTAGACTGCTAGTGACTGCTAGTGTGTAATTGTGACTGTTTTTTTTGAAAGCAAATCCACTCGGCTGGGGGCGGGAAAAAGACAATGTATGATGTCACTCAAGGGAAGGGGCCACGTGACAGGCAGTGAGTGTTGAAAAATGTGGAGCTCCTAGGGCCCTAGGGAATGGGTTGGAGTCAGAGGGCCACGCAAGCTTTGCTGCTAGTGCTGCCCCTGATTGAGTGCTGGTGCGGAGTTGGCATTGGCTCAATTCACATCGAAGAGCCAAACACACGCCATAGTTAATCGAATGTTTGATTGTATAAAGCTTATGTAGTCCAACTTATGGTGGACACGAGCAGAGGGCTATCTCGGCAATGACCGAACCAAAGAAGCAAAATCCTCACTGAGTACGAACTTGGCTGCTCCCATGATCCAGGCGGTTGAGCTTTGATGTTTCGCGGAAAAAACTGTCGCGCTCTCAATGCCATGGCGAGGCCAATCCATGGCATTTTTTTGGTGGCAAGCATGGGATTGTGTGGCCGTGTTTTTGCTGCTGAGCCATGTGCAGAAGTACTTCTTTGTTCTTTAGTGCAATAAGCCTGGAAATCGAACGAGATTGAGATCTCTATCAGATGCCCCATCTCATATTATAATATATTATAGACACAATTGACACAATACGTTGCTTGCCTTGTGCTGTCGCATAATGTTGCTCATGCAACCCAGGTTCATGTCCACACTTTCAAAAGCTCCGTTGAACGAGTCTCGTTGACACGGCGGTGGGCAAGCGATGCAAAGCAACCGCATGCCGCCAATGTAAGAGGAAACTTCTATGTGGACCACACTTGCATTGACTGCGACACATGCCGTTGGATGGCCCCAGAGACGTTTGGGCGCACCAGTCACGTTGCTGGGGGTCAAAGCTACGTCTATGAACAACCGAATGAAGATCAGTTGGATATGGCCATACGGGCGATGGTCTCATGCCCCACTGGCAGCATTCGGACCCAATCCCCTGAGAGGAGGACCAAAGAGATCATTGAGACCTTCCCCTTGCGCGTGAGCAATGAATTGCCCCGTGTCTTTCACCTGGGATTCCACAGTGCAAAGAGTTTCGGGGCATCAAGCTACTTCATTCCGTTGTCAATGCCGTCCGGTGAACGACTGAATATCATGTTCGATTCCCCACGATATTCCTCCAAGCTAGCCAAGCTCCTGGATGCTGCTGGGGGCGTCGACCTCATGGTGATGAGCCATAAGGACGCTTTTCATGCGGGGGTCTCGTCCAATGACAAATCCTGTGAATTCCTGGAGTTAATTTGCATTATTGTGGCTTATGCAACTGCAGGATGACGTGGCAGATCACAACAAGTGGAAGGAGCGCTTTCCTTCTATGAGGCGTGTCATGCACGCGGCGGATGTGCGGGGTCCAGATGCATGGCCTTACATCGAAACTTTGGCTTGAAGTTGGTTTGGCTTCCAGGTGCGGAATCTTTTTGGTTGAAGGTATTTAATATTTAAACGGTATATATAGTGGGTTTGTCCTATTACCTATTATTACCTGCAACAGTCAGTAAACAATTATCACTATTTTTTGAACAAGGCCTCTACTAACCATCATCGTCCACTGTTACAGGTAATGAGATAGACCCAAGGTAGTACCCAAGGTATATATATATATATACACTTCAGTTTTACTTGAAGATTGGATGCTCAAAGTGATATGACATCTCCAATGAACCCATGGGACACTCACAGGCTCCACGTGATAGATGGACTGCTACACACAGAGGCCACAGAGGCACTATGAGGCACTAGTTCACAGTTTTGGGCAAGCGCTAGGCTGGGGATGATGAGGTGGGTGTGTAGATATACAGATGACAATAGGTGATGCAATATGTGATATATTCAGCATATGAATAAACATACCGGTGTTTTTGGGTATAATAGTCAAAAGCCTCGGTGATCAGTGTAGAATCACTGGAATTCAGAGGACATGACCGGCGTCGAGGAGCAGCTGGATGGGAAGGGTCCATGGATCTTGGCAGAGCCTTGGCTAAGCTGCCGAAACGTGATTTAGTGGTTCTACATCAAAGATCTCCTTCAGATAATGTGGAACAACCCCCCAAACTGGGCTTGTTCAGCTTCCATTACCTTTTGATGGAGCGTAGTCACAGGTGCTTTAAAACGTGCGCTTGTTTGGTTTATAACTTGACAAACACCTTTAGTGTGGTGACGTGGCTGGGGATTGCTGGTGATTCTTCTTCCGGTCAGCAGGTACCATAGAAGAGGGGTTGTTGATTTCAGGCTGTAAAGGGCCGAGTGTATTGAAGCATGTCCATCATGAAGGCGGACTCTACTATATATGCGTGCAAGTGTGAGCGAATTGATTGGCCTGTTTGTTTGTGACGCTTTCCGTTCTGCCAGGATGGTGTGAAGGTCCTCCACACTCCAGGGCATAGTGCTGGTTCGATCACCCTCATTTTGGATGGCCGTGTGACTGGCGGGGACGGTGCGGCCTTCACTGGTGATCACTTGGCCACTTGGAAGAAGACTGAACATCGCACGAGCCCTCAAAGGGCTATTCGGATGAAAGTGTTTTGGCTACTGTTTTGGCTCAGGTCTTCGTTCTGTACCATACTATAGATAGCTTTGTTTCTGTGTAAGACGAGGTATGTGTTGCGCATTTAAGCCCTTGCGAACCTGAATCATTCTGTATCCCACACGCTTTAACATCCCTTGGTGACTACGAATTGCGCAGTGTTTTCCCAATCCAGTTCCGGCGGTACTGCCAGGCCATGAACGGGCGCTTGGGGCGCCTAGATGGTTTTGCTCGTTACTCCGATGATTTAGACCTGCAAGCCGAATCCATGCGCAGGTTGGCAGAGGAGGCAAGGGTTGTTTGACAGATTCAGAAGTGCCAGGATAACATTACTTACTTCTTATTGGTGTACAGTGTATGCCACCGGTTCGTGTTGGCAATTTCTTCCCCAAAGGGTTTCCCGTTAGGGTTTTCTCTCTCATGAAGAAAGTCTTTGGCGGCGACCCTGAACCCTGTGTCCGGGTGTTGTCTTCCTGTTGTCCTTTGGCCGCGGTTTTCTCATGGCATATATTGAAAGCCATCAAGGGGCTCATGCTTTCTCACGCTAGCCCTCCGAGCTAATTAGCTGTTACATGCTGGCCAGGCTGACCGTCTCATTGGGGGTGGTATGTCTCGGGGTGACCAGGCCTCAGGAAAACACAAGAAAAACTTGTTTGACCTTTTGACCTCCTGTTCTTCAAAGGTTTTCTGCAAGTCTTGGAAAAAGCGTGAGTCTCAAAGAACTGAGTCACTGCCAGTTTTGGACCAAATACTCTTTCCCTACAAGCATGTGCTTCAGCCTGTTCCTCAAGGTCACCCCTAAGCATTGCTCGACACGCTCCACACCACCCGGCTCCGTCTCTCCAGGACTTCCTTTGGATCCTCCCGGGCCACGGCCGCCGGGTTCGCTTTGCTTCGGCCCAGCAGCGGCAGGCGGAGCTGCGCCAAGCCGCGGCGCAGTATTTGTCCGACCCACGAGGGGCCCAAGCACCGGGGCCCATGTTTCATGTCGCGTAGCCCGTGATCAAGTCAGATCACTCCGCCCACCGGAGCTGCCATGCGTGCACACTGGGTCAAAAAGGGGTGTTGCGGTGTTGCATGTCATCATATGTCATCTCTCAGTCGGTCAACAGGTTTTACTCTTTTCTGAGTATGGTCGACATGCAACGTCCACTGGGTCACGGGCGTGAAGTATTGTGAACTCACCCATCGCTATGGGAGTGACGGTGTACTGTTTACTAGCGGCCAATATGGCTGGCGCATTCTCATGGTGTTGCACCTACTGGCGGCATGGGTTGCGTGTTTTTGAGTCAAACCGCTTTCCTCGGTGCATGTCCACGACAGATTGAAGCGGAAGGGTACTGTATACTTCCTGAATTAACTACTTTCGGGTACTTCCTGAGTTGTTCAGCTGAGCAAGTTTCGTGGCTTCTTTCGGGCCATTTTTCCTGCAGTGCCGATCCGTATTGGATGCAGGTTGCAGGCCCATTGGAGCGTTGGTGCTCATTTATGTCGCCTGCAATCTGCTCACCCTTGAAATCCTATAGCATGTGCCATGACTCAAGTGTACAGACTGCTTGCAGGTGCAGTAGGGAAAAGATTGGACAGTGGAACGGCGAAGCGCAGCCACGAAACTTCTGCAATTCATTAATTCCGTGGCAGCTCAAGCTCCTCATGCCTGGAATACTGAATGAGATGTAGGCGCCGTACACGGATTGGGCTAATCAAATCTACTGTGAAACCATCTTAAGTGAGTAGTCAGCAGCTAGCTTTCTGTGATTCTTTCGAGATGGCCTTTTTGCTGCGCAGATCTGCGCAGGACTTTCAAGATTTTTTGAGAGTGCGATTGGCCCTTGCCAACGAATACAAGGCGCCGGGCAGGCAAACAGCTGTTGGGATGGCAAGGTAATCAGCAACCGACAAGAAAGACAGACGCTTCGAGCACCGACAAGAAACCGAGAGAGAGAGACAGAGAGATAGAAAGCCATTGGCACCGACCGATCCCTTCCGCAGCAAGAGATGATCGATACCAGCCCTAACGAACCACTGCGGGGCACCGTTTCAGCAAGCGCGAAGCGCAGCGACTCGCTTCAGGAAGCTGTAAAGCACCAACGTCTCCGTGCGAGCGGTTCATGGGACATTCAGGCGACGGCTTCGTTTCATGGCGGTTGGGCCAGGGCGGGCGGTATTTTGGGTGGTGCCACTCATAACACCATCGGTTGCCCACAAGAAACACACACAGACACACACGACCCCTGCGATACCTGATCCTATCGATTCCAGACCTGAGTTGCACAGCAGTCGCATGGTGCTCAATTCGTGGCCCTTGTCTATTCCTCCTGAGGACCCCACCCTGAAGCAAGAGTCCCGGCGGGGTTTAGGGCTGGGCCGCATGAAGCTGCGCCCAGCCCTCAGAGCTGAACTGACCGGCGGAGTGTCGCGCGGTGCTTCGAGCGGTGCTTCGACCGGTGGTTTCGAACCGGTTCAAATCCCAACTCGGTGTTTTGGGCAGTTCGGGATGCTTCAGCTGGAAAGATTCCCTTGCTATCTTTGGATGGAGCGGTGGAGCTAACTTCACAGAGTTCGAGAGTTCAGTGGGTTCAGAGTGCCTGGCTCGTCAATATTGTTCCTTTTGAGCGCTTTTGAGATAGCAGACGGGCTTGTTCAAATGCATGCAAGAAACAATGGCCATGCAGCATGCAATCAATATTGAGAGAGTGCGGGGTTGTATAGGGTCGGATGGCAGTGGACATTCTCACCAGACTCGGCACACCAGTGTTGCTCCCTTCGGCTCTACCATTTTGTTTTGTTAGATTTGGCTCGAAGTGGACAGTCTTTCCCCTGTCGGAACCAATTTGTAC